CCTACTACTTCATTTTTATTAATGTCTATAATTATCTGAGGCCATCTCAATTACACTTTTTATTTCATTTTGCATTTCTGACCAATGCGACAAGAAAAATTTTATTATTAACATCTTGCGCCCAAAAGATCAGTCAATGAATTGGTTTTATAATGTTGTTGTCTGTTACACTGAAAGAAATGGGCTTATTAAACTGTTTTTCTAGAATAATGTGTACAGCGCATATTAAAACTTTTATAATATATGTATATTATTTAAAATAAATAATCATGTCCATACTATACTAATTAATTCAATCAGTTTAACTGGAAAACGCTTAATACACCTTATGCATCTATGAAATAAAGTTTATAACGAATTACGTGTTATTATGTGTTATAAGGATTATGTTTCATTTACATAATAGAAAATATTTGTGTATAAAGAGCAACATCCGAATCTGTATGTAACAACTGTATTAATAGAAATATTCGTTTTCGTAATAATTACACAGCCCCACAAAAAAAAAAAAGTGTTCGGACTTGTGGGTCCAGGTGCATTCTAAAGCCAAAGCTGGATTTATGGTCGAAAAGTTTATGGCCAACTGAAATTCCCCATTTGGGACCGGGAAAATGACCCCTTAGGGGCCGGGAAATCGTATTTCGGGCGTCGCAATCGCAACAGTGGTATTTTTATGTACTTTTAAATTTTGTAACTCAGACTGTGCTCGAAAAGTTTATGGCCAACTGGAATTCCCCGTTTGGGACCGGGAAAATGACCCCTCAGGGACTGGAAAATCGTATTTCGGACGTCGCAATCGCAACAATGGTATTTTTATGTAGGTACTTTTAAATTCTGGAACGCAGACTGTGCTCGAAAAGTTTTTGGCCAACTGGAATTCCCCGTTTGGGACCGGGAAAATGACCCCTTAGGGGCCGGAAAATCGTGTTTCGGATGTCGCAATCGCAACAGTGATATTTTTATGTACTTTTAAATTCTGGAACTCACACTGTGCTCGAAAAGCTTTTGACCAACTGGAATTCCCCGTTTGGGACCGGGAAAATGACCCCTTAGGGTCCGGAAAATCGTGTTTCGGACGTCGCAATCGCAACAGTGGTATTTTTATGGACTTTTAAATTCTGGAACTCACACTGTGCTCGAAAAGTTTTTGGCCAACTGGAATTCCGCGTTTGGGACCGGGAAAATGACCCCTTAGGNCTTCAACCTACAAACAAAATTTTATGTTTTGCTTTAATTCTAATTTTATTTATACTACAACCAGTACAATCATAAATAAAATATAAAATATCTCCTTATCTCATAAGAGAACAGATTTGGAGATAAACGTAAATAATAAGAAAGTTATTTTATTGGCATTGACCTGAACATCACTCAAATTGTTTCGTGAATGAATAGAAATCCCTTATTTTTATGGTCAACATCTGACATACACGTCCGGCGTCCGGCGGTTTTGCGTTTTCTAAAAAAATAAGGTATAAACTAATAAATAAGACATGACAGGATCCATTGTGCCTACATGCATTGCGCTTTGCGAATACCTACAGGATAAACAGAATCAATTTTTATAGTTTTAGGCCTGTAAATTATATAAATTCTAAGTAAATTTTGAGATTTATTAAATGATCATACGTCTCTGTTGGCGCAGTAGTTTTATCTTAGGTCCTTAAGCTTTTATATTTTTGATTTGTAGGTGTTAGAACTGTGTTTTATTTTAGATTTGGTGGTGGTTTGTAATTTGATGGTAGTCAAAATGAGTAGCAATCCTTGCAAAACTAAAAGACTTTCGTTTAAGCGTTTATTATGGCCAATAAAAATTGTTAACATTAAAAGATACAAATTAGTTGCACAATGCANCAGATTTGGTGCATTACACTTGTCCTATTTCTTGATGAAGCGACTTCATGAATTAATTGATCAATAAATTGTCAATGTAAAACAACTATTAGATACAATAAATTTTATATGAAAGACCCCCTATTAAAAGTGTTTAAACAATTGACCCTGAAATTTATTGCACATTATTCGGGATCACCCTGTACTTATATGTAGGTTTTATGCACACTGAAATTTAGCCAAATGATTTATAATTATTGCAAAAATATATTCGTAATTCAAACTTCAACCTACAAACAAAATTTTATGTTTTGCTTTAATTCTAATTTTATTTATACTACAACCAGTACAATCATAAATAAAATATAAAATATCTCCTTATCTCGTAAGAGAACAGATTTGGAGATAAACGTAAATAGTAAGAAAGTTATTTTATTGGCATTGACCTGAACATCACTCAAATTGTTTCGTGAATGAATAGAAATCCCTTATTTTTATGGTCAACATCTGACATACACGTCCGGCGTCCGGCGGTTTTGCGTTTTCTCAAAAAATAAGGTATAAACTAATAAATAAGACATGACAGGATCCATTGTGCCTACATGCATTGCGTTTTGCGAATACCTACAGAATAAACAGAATCAATTCTTATAGTTTTAGGCCTGTAAATTATATAAATTCTAAGTAAATTTTTAGATTTATTAAATGATTATGCGTTTCTCTTGGCTCAGTAGTTTTATCTTAGGTCCTTAAGCTTTTATATTTTTGATTTGTAAGTGTTAGAACTGTGTTTTATTTTATATTTGGTGGTGGTTTGTAATTTGATGGTAGTCAAAATGAGTAGCAATCCTTGCAAAACTAAAAGACTTTCGTTTAAGCGTTTATTATGGCCAATAAAAATTGTTAACATTAAAAGATACAAATTAGTTGCACAATGCAAGTATAATTTATAATCGACTGTGCTGCCAGAGTTTTTCATCTGATGGATCGTATCGTTGTTTATGCAGTTTCAGTTGACTTTGGATAAACTATAGGTATAAATTTCTCAAGCGAAAATAAAAAAATTACACAGTTTCATTATGGATTTCAAAAATCAACTAATTTTTTAAGTGTGTGCGTAGGTACACAGTGGTTAAGCCTAAAATAAAATTCACTTCAGAATAAACATAAGTAACATTGTTTNTAAGGGGTCATTTTCCCGGTCTCAAACGGGAGATTCCAGTTGGCCATAAACTTTTCGAGCACAGTCTTAGTTCCAGAATTTAAAAGTACATAAAAATACCACTGTTGCGATTGCGACGTCCGAAACACGATTTTCCGGCCCCTAAGGGGTCATTTTCCCGGTCCCAAACGGGGAATTTCAGTTGGCCATAAACTTTTCGACCACAAATCCGGCTTTGGCTTTAGAATGCACCTTCGACCTCGCCTCATCCCGGAATCCATCTTTCAGGCCCTATAGAGGCAATTTTTGGCCCCTGGGGCCAATTCCAGACGTGGAGGGCCATTTCTGAGCTCGGGATCGGATTCAGCGTCGAAAAATACATGGGAATACATATGTCCCACCCACAAGTCCGAACACTTTTTTTTTTGTGGGGCTGTGTTATGTTTTCATTTTTAACGTGTAAAACACGTCCTATAATGATCGTCACCTCTCGATACATAATCGGTTACTACCGTAAAATTTCCAGCAGTCCGCTGTGCATCGATCGACTATTACGCTTATGGCAGTAGTCTAGTTGGATGAGGATATACATTATAGACACATTTTGCCCTATTGTCATCAATTTTAATACTTAAATGTTTGTTGTATGTTTACATTAGAATCTCAGCTTGTAATTACAGCTCTACAATAAATTTTCTGAAAATTTAATGTCATGTTTTTAACTCATGCAAAGTAAACAACAGTTTAATACATTTATTATTATATAAATTTTAATTACTACTAGATGTTCTGACAACGAGTATGGAACACTTTAATAATAGTTATAGCAATCATTTCGTAGAGAGTATAAACAACGTACTACGTACTACTTATACAATAATTCAATAAATATCGTGTACAGTCACTGTACAACTGTGTTTACGCGTTTTATATACACCTGTTTATCTCACATACAGTATACAGTATTATTATAATAGCATTTAGAATTGTAATAAAGAGTAAAGCGCATTTATTTCAGTGTATAGTAATGAAAACATTCGTTATCATACTTAACTTAAAGTCAAATGTAACAGTTTTGTTTGTAATTTACTACTCTCTACATTTTTAATTCTACTTTTTCAGTAAGAGATTTTTGTGACTAGCCACAACTAAATTTTTAAACTCAACTGATAATTTTTGCGCAAGGGGTCACTTATTTATATATACTTATATTTTTTTGAGTAGTAAGATCTAGTTTGTTGTTAAATCGTGTTTGAATCAATTGAACGATTTAATACCATTTCTTTAATTGAATGTCGTGTTCGTTTTTCAGTAAGAATGAAAAAAATTGTTAAAACTACATATTTTACCTACGATTATTGAGAAGAGAATCCACATTTATTTTATCAAAATTGTGTAATATGTATAGGTGGCATAAAGATATAAATACATTATCAAATCGACTCTATTATAAATATACTCGGCACACTTGTGAAAGACTGTAATTTTAAGATTTCCTTTATATAACACAATGTTACCTAATTTAAAACAACTATTAAAAAATAGTTATGCAATTCAATATGTTCAAAATATCATATATGTAAATCATAACACTTGTTTTATTAAAAAGCGAATACTTTTAAGAATTTAAAATAAAGGACTTCCAGAATAAATCGACTGCAATCGCTTTTAATAAATCTAATAAAATCACAATAACTGAAATCTCCAATACTCATAAAGCACCAGTTTTATTCTGATTGTAGTTGAGAATACATTACTATTATTATCATTAAACATTAAACACTATATTTTCTACTTAAGCATGCCATCTTATAAGTATACTCCGATTTGCACTACACGTTCGATTTTGTAGTAGTCTCCAAAATAGTTGTTCTACTGTCGACGTTACAATTAATTTTTAGTATGCTTTAAAAATACAATCGAAAAATTGCATCGCGAATTAATAATAATAATTGTAGCGCTCTATTTGTGTGACCTCATGATTTACTATTGTTATCTTTTGCAGTAAAAACACCTGAAATAATTCCCTGCTATATCAACCTGACCCAGCCATATGAGGGTTTCCTAGAAAGAGGCGATATTCCTTCATATATTATAGATTTCAATATCAAACATGACCTGCCCATCGACTGTCTATGGAATATTACCGTTGAGGAAAACTGGGGGGTATGTATACTTTTATAGTAAAAACAAGCGTTTTTTTTAATATACAGTATGTTTTTAATTTATATAAGTCCGGGTCCGCCTAAAGATGCCCAAAATTGCTAATGATTATTATTATCATTCATTAAGCGCGAAGCTCATAAGCTCAAAAGCTCCAGACTTTATTAGCCGCTCAAAAATGAGTTATTATATGATCGCAAAAAATAAGTAACTGTCAATGCAAATGACGTCAAACGCATTTTTGTTCTTTACAACCAGCTACGATAGAAAATATTTACAATTTCGATTCCCGGTGATTAACACATGTAAAATTATTTTTAAACGGATTTTACACAAAAATGGGACATTATATCAACATGATTTTTTTTGCTAAAAAACAGTGAAATTTCATACTTTTCAGTCAAAAGTCAAAAAAGTCAAAGCATAAAAAGTCATGGTAAATTCCTTGCCTTCTCCCCCCGCCCCCGTTCTCACTGTTGGAAAGTATGTGGAACTTTATCACAACTTGTTTCGGAGTTATTTAGAAAAAACATCATCAGAATGGCCCCTTTAAGTGGCTATAACTTTCTTAGGAGGGAATCTTTGGACCCACGTTTATATAAAAAAAGTAATCTTTTTCGACATAGAATACCCTGTAGAAATATCGCTCCCTAATTTTGGGATACCCTGTATAAAGCCGGTCACTCGTCAAATAAAAATGTAGCAAATATTTACGGATAATTTTTCCAAAATCTATAGTGCATGATACCCAAAATAATATAACGAGGAGCTCTTTTTATAGGGTGTCTCAGATAGACCTCCCGTAAATTCAGGGGGTGATAGTATGACAAAAAATAAGAATTTTTTGTCTTATGAACTATATGTATATCTCCTCTTAGTAGTTACGCTAGTTACGCTACATTCCTATTACATTTTAGGATCTAATTTTTTTGAGATTAGGTTTTTGTGACTGTAATTAGTCATTACTAACTAGTCACTAACAATCACTAAAAATTTGATATAAAGTTAATTAGAGTTTAAAATATTACTGAGAATGTATGCGTTGTTTATGAGACATACATCAATAAGTTTTGACATAAGCCTACTTTGAGAAAAGTCACTTATTTTCTTCACCGTAATATTATAAGAGTTCAATTAAAAGCCTTTTTTTCTCGAAAACCGTCCGCATTAGGAAGTTCTAACAAGAGTACATTATTTTTAGAAAATAAAATTTTACATTAGAAATTGGAGCCCGAATGATAAAAAACCTAACCTCAAAAAAATTAGAACTTAAAATGTAAAAGGAATGTAGCGTAATTAGCGCCCTCTACGAAATATCAAAAATTAATTAGACCAGCGTATTTGGCGTCCTTAAAAACCCCGGAATGAATTTCATAAAAATATTTCTCATCGTTTGGAAATTTTCGTAAAAATTCTATTTAAAAAATTTAATTTTGTCGCTCTGTATCTCGAAAACAAGAGGAGATAAACATATAGTTCATAAGACGAAAAATTCTTATTTCTTGTCGTACTATCACTCACTGAATTTACGGGAGGTCTTTCTGAAACACTCTGTATAGCTTTGAGGAATATTATGCCAACTTTGTCTTAGAATAGGAATATTTTATTTGCCTAACATTGCTTAGACCCATGATTTGACATTTCTTTCCGAGGGATGCTACGTCTTCATGTACAACTCTCGCATAGAGAGTCTCCTCTGGTGGTCACTCATCCAAATGCATAATATATTACGTCCAAAATCTTGCAGTCAAATAAAAAAGTATATAAGGAGTTGTTAACAAAATTGTACAAATTAAGAAACACCTTATATTTTATTTTGAAAACAAAGAATGTAAAGTACCTCTTTTATTTCCAGATATACCTGCAATTCGACAAGTTCACCCTCGAGAGGCCCAACGACTGCGACAGCAACTTTGTGCAAGTGTTCTCGAACAGTACAGACACACAACAGATTAAAATGTTCTGTGGATCAATAGCGGACACAGTGTTATCTAAATCGAATAAAATGTTCCTTCGGTTTTATTCCGTGTCAAAAAATGAGAAAACGATGTTCAAAGCGAACTACACGGCTTATAGGGATATAATTTCAGGTATGGAAAATCCAGCATGAGTAAAGTAAGGCAAGAAAACTATGTTTTCGATTAATTAAATAATTGGAAGTACAAGGTGGTTTTTAGGTATAGGATGACTGATTCCTCTAGAGAAATGCATTTTTGTAACCACTGATGATACATAAATTGTGAAAACGATATTGCACTCACTCAAATGTAAAATACAAATATTTAGATATAAACAGGTAGAAACTTCTAATACCGACCACCTTAGGGGAATCCAAAAGTTGCTCACTAAAAAAAGGCAGTCGTTTAAAAGAGAGTTTAAAAGAAAATACATCAAAATTATACTTTTTATTTTATAAAGAACAAAATTACTCATACACTAAATTTAACTAATTAGGTGTATAGAAATATGTATAAATAAAAAATACGGACATATATACACATACTTAAGCATTATTATTTTTTTAAATAATCAAATTTATCAAATTCATATTTTTAAATGTATTTTGATAAATTTCAGATTCACATTTCAGTAATAATAATAACCTGAAAATATCAGTAAGCTTGTCAAAACTGTTTGCATTAACAAAAAAATATTTTATTAAATAAAGAACCAGTTGTTGTTTAAAAGTTTTTTATTACTATTAAAATATATCGTTATCTCAAAAACGGTTTGTTGTTTCCATAACAAAAAGGTGTTACTTTTCTCTGTTAAAAAAGTACGAGGTGTCAAAATAAGGACAAAAAGTAAAAAGTAAGCACATCATTTTATTTTTGGCCCAGGACTGCTGGGAGCGCTTGGCCCTCCGAATCTCCAAAGTAATTATCAGTAAAAGGAATACCTCAATAGAAATAACTTCAAATAATATATCTATAACCCAAAAATTATCCAAATTTAATATTAAACAAAAAAGTTACAACTAAAAATCGATATTCAACTTTCAATTTCAAGAGATAGAAGACAGGGTGAACCCGAATAAAAACAATTTCTATACACTTGTTATGTTACTTTTGAAGGGCCTACCCTAAGAGATTGTCCACCATTTCCTAGACACCCTGTATACATAGTGCCCCTGAAATGCATGTAGAGAGCCTTCATAGATGTTTACGGCAGTCACGTGACTGCCGAACTTAGACAACCACCGTGGCAGGACTGGTACTGATAATGAAAAATCCCTAAATCTTGGCATCAACAATATTAATGATTCGTTTACAATGAACAATGACAAACCGTTACGCCTACGCTCGAGATAATGCGATTGCTGATTGGTTGAATAGTATCTCGTGAAAAATCACACCAATCATAACCGGTGAAACAGTAGGTTGTGTTTTAATGTAAGCTTGATCTGGTTGTCTTAATTTTAACCAAATTTGATTGCCACCGTGAAGGAAACAAAATTACTATTCCAAACAATAATTTAATTAACGATATTTAATACGAATGCCTTTTGATATATGCTTCTTTTTTCCTAGGAAAAGAGGATAAATGCAACAGCGATGACCAGTTCTATTGTGAGGATGCGACGTGTATTCATAAAAGTTTAGAGTGTAATGATAAATTCAACTGCAGATCAAGATTCGACGAGGATGGGTGCCAGGTTAGTATTTGCTTTATATTCTCAATTTACTGTTTCCCATAGTTTTACATGTAACTCTTCTGTTTTCAGTATTTAAAAATTGGTTTATGTCGATATGATTGATGTAACAATATTTTTAACATATTGGTAGCCTCAACCGAATTATTAATGAAAACATTAAATTTCCTGTACAAAATGATACCAGTGCTATAAGTTTTTGTTCATTTACTTAATCTAAAACGCATATTATGTGATTTAACATCTAAACTGGCTTCACTTTGTTATCCATTTTTTATTTATATGTTTGTAATTGTTTTCTTAAAATACATTATATTTCATTTATTAAATCCATATACTACGCCGACATTGGGAAGCAAGGATTTGGATCAAATAATGAAAATATGCAAAACCAAAAAATATATTTAATGACGTATTTCAATGTCAAGATGAATTTTCCTCTTTGTAAGACTAATATTAGAAATATTTTCAAAACAGGTAATGGTACCTAGATTTCACATTCAATGTATCAATGTAAAAGTAACGGAGAATCGGGAGTAATGAGCAAAAATGATGCAAAAACTCTCAGAGATATAAAAGAATAGGGGCAACTAAGATAATAATTCTTAGTTAGAAAATGATGATGAATGTGATATATGCTATCGAGAAAAGTAGATGGCAGATATGAACGAAGAGGGGGGCAAAATAAAAGAATCAGTGAATTAATGGGGACATTTCTGGAAAGGACGGAAAAACAGAATTAGCTTCGTCATAGTCTTTACCCATGTAAGATTCGACAGTAAATCCTACATGGCGTAGATAACAGAGGATTTGATCGAGGAGATTGATTCTGGATACTGCGCTGACGTACATATTGTCGCTTTAGTTGTGAATAGTTCTAAACCACTTCAAAGACATTTTAAGTTACATGTGATTTGAAATATTTTGCTCATAAGGCATTAGTTTAAAACTTTATAAAATTTTTCATAGTCAACAAAAGAGTTGTATATGTACATAGATATATATTTTAGGTAGATTCTAAACAAATACACAATATTTATCGCATGATAAAGGCACAACATCCCTAGTCCTTTTATAATTTTGTACTTTTGATTAAATGGTTACATATTTTTATCACCGGAAAACAATAAATTTAATAATAAATACCGTCTGAATATTTACATAAACAGTGAATAATAGTGTAAAAAATTAAGGGATCAAAAAAAAAATCTAAATTTTCGGCGACTTTTCAAATGGCTGTATCTTTCTCTAATTTTTCAAGTAACACGTATCGCGCAATCATAATGAATATCATGAAAAAAAATTTTTGGAACCGATTTTCAGAAATTTCGCAAAACCGCCGGCATTAGCGTTACCCAAAGCGTGCCACGTGGAGGTTGCACGATCGGATTTACGCTTCCTTTACACACGTGCGAAAAGCGTTTAAAGTTATGATAAAAAGAAATTTTTTTTCAAATTTTTTTTTCTACTCTAAAAAAAAGGTGGTTTGAAAAAACCGTTTGTTTTAGTGTTCTGTAAATTCGGAAAAAGCGTTTTATGAATTCAGAAGTATCGCAGCAATAATCTCTGAAAAGGGTGTACATCGAGGTCAATATTCGGTTAGGGATATCAACTTTTTTAAATTTAATTAAAATTCGGTCAGCATAATCACGAAATGAAGTAGGGGAATCGTGTCGAAAATGCTTGGGGATTACTGAGATAAATTTTCTGGAGTGAATCCAACGAAAAAAATTTTCAAAAGAATTTTCAAAAAAAATTTTTTTTTGTCATAACTTCAAACGCTTTTTGCACGTGTGTAAAAAAGCGTAAATCCGACCGTGCAACCTCCACGTGGTACGCTTTGGGTAATGCTAATGCCGGCGGTTTTGCGAAATTTCTGAAAATCGGTTCAAAAAAATTTTATTTCGAAAAAATTTATTATTTTTTTTTTTCATAATTTCAAACGCTTTCTGCAATAAGAATGTAAAAAAAATCAGGAAAAAATGTCATTTTCATTTTTTTTACAGATTATGAGCATTTAAAGGCAAAAAAACATGATTTTAAAAAAATTCAATCGAATGAAACAAAAAAACGGCTTGATGGATCGAATTGAAACTCTGTAGGGCTTTTAGGGGTACAATGATCTGTAAAAGACACACTTAACATTAGTCATTTTCCCAATATTCTCAATGTGGCACGTGATTTTCTAGAAAACCCCTAAAAGTCCCATTTTTTACGATTTTTCTGTCATGATAAGGATAAAAAAAATTTTTTCTTAAAAACCGTGCCAGGACCTTGTAGAGAATTCATTCAAGTTTCTGAAACCCACCGTCGATTTTCTGTGCAACCATTGGTTTCTGAGATATCGATGAACAAAGAGAAAATGATCTATTTTCATTCATGTCCGATAGCTCAGCGAGAAATGGTCGAGACCAAAAAAAAAAAGAAATTGAAGCTAAATGAACAACCTATCTAATCCATAAGGTGGTTAAGTTGGAACAATTTTTTTTAAGTCCATACACAAAAAATAAGATCGAAAAAATTTCGAAAAATTTTTTTTCATGATATTCATTAAGATTGCGCGATACGTGTTACTTGAAAAAATTTTTTTCGCAAGATCCAAAAATTAGAAACTTCAAGCTTCAAATTGCTTTTTTTTACTCCAATACGATCATTTTTATCAAAGATACAGCCATTTGAAAAATCGCCGAAAATTAAAATTTTTTTTTTTATCCCTTAATTTTTTCCACTAGTTTATTTAAACCATGTGAAGATTTGCAACCTATTTTGAATTTTTCTTAACACTCCTTGTGTACTTACAAGTCGAAAGAAGCTTGCATCACAAAAGAAACCAAGCACCAAATTGAAAATATACAGGGAGGTCCAGATTTAGTAGACATACTTCGGGAAAGTACTAAACAACAAAAATTAACATCACTTTGCTCTATGAACATAGGCGCAGAAAGCCCCCGTTTATGAGATACAGGGCGTTGAAATTAACAAAAATAAAACAATTTTTTTAAATACCTGGAAAACCGCTTCATCAAATTTATCCAAATTTGGTACACATTTCTTTTCAAATATTTTTCCTATGCACACAGTCCTAATTCAAAAACCGGTTGCGGAGAAACAAGGATATCGTTTTCTAATTTAAAGCAAAAAAATTGAAAAAATAATTAATTTGTAATATGAATACATTTTATAACGATCTGAAACATTCTGGATGAAAAGACATTCTTTTAATTTTGTCGAAAAGTGAATGGCTTGCGAGTTAAGAGACATATTATCAAAGTAAACATCTTGCCACCTAGACTAAATTCCGATCCGTTTTTAATTTTTTTTGGACAATAGCCTCTTTCAGTTAATGAAGGATATACCTTTGAACCAACGTATCGCGACCTTGTTTAAAATGGACGGGGCGCCAGCACATTCTGTCCAGGTATAGTTCGTGAATGGCTAACAAACGACTACCTACAAAAATAGAAGGATTGGACGGAATGGCCCCATACCTTGATCATCTAGATCACCTGATCTAAATATTTTAAATTATTTTATTTGGAGTAACTTAAAAAGTGACGTTTATGCTGCTCCTATAGCAAATAGAGACCAGCTAGTGCAAAGGCTAAATGAGACCTGCACTAATTTGAAGCGAAATTCAATTTTAATTAGAGCTGCTGTGAATTCTATAGCGAAAAGATGCCAAAGATGCATTGAGGTTGGTGGTGCACACTTCGAGCAATTGATTTAATTTATTTGTTTTTCATTTAACTTTACTTGTTGTTCTTGTTACTTGAAAGTTGAGCTCGACATGTTTGGTATGATAGTGAAAAATGTGTACCAAATTTGGATAAATTTGATGAAGTGGTTTTCCATATTTAAAAGAATTGTTTTATTTTTGTTAATTTCAACGCCTTGTATCTCATAAACGGTGGCTTTCTGAGCCTATGTTCATAGAGCAAAGTGATGTTAATTTATGTTGTTTAGTACTTTCCCGAAGTTTGTGTATTAAAATCTGGACCACCCTGTATGTACAGGTTGGTAAATCTCGAAACTGGAGATACTGGTAGTAAAAGTCGATTGAACCAAATTTGCCTTATGCAAATGTTGCTTTTCATAGATACAAGGCGTTCAATATTTGAATTTTATTTTGAAATTTCTCAATAATTTTGAGAACTGTCAGATTATGGACAAAATAATTGCCACTATTATGTCTTATGACATGATAAATAAGAATTTTTTAACTAATTTCGGCGTTGCTTGTATAGGACGTCAGTAATGCCCTATTCCTTGAATAAATAGGGGAATTTTTCTTGCCTTTAGAATTACCATCATTATGTATTGAAAATATGAAAGAATCTTCTTCGTTTCATAAAAAAGTTACTCTTATTCGTTTTCGATGTCTCCCTTGGTTATCGACATGCAATAAAAATTTCAGTTTAACTTTTAATCCTTAAAGTAAACTAATGCGACTTGACAACTAATGTATAAACCGAATTATTTACAGTTTTTATAGGTATACAAATAATTTGACCACTTTTTACTTTCCCTTTAAGTAATTTTTTAAAAAACTAAGGCATATTTGGCTCAGTCTACTTATTTTGGCCACCAGTATGCCCAGCTTCGGGATTTCCCAACTTTTCGCAGACATCTTGTATACACAGGGTGGCCAAATGAAAACGAAACAGAGCCATTTTCAGGAACTGCGTCAAGATTGTAGAAAAACGCTCAGACCCGTCGATTTTAGATTAAAGGGGGACATTCTTTGCTGGTATTTTTGACTCCGCCACTTTCACCCCCAAGCAAGGGTAAGCATCACCCCAAAATATTTAAATGGCATTGGGGGTTGAGTAATATTTCTTTTGAAAGCTCTTACAATTCTCTTTACAACAGACTTTAAATTTTATAATTCCGCCCAATACTTTGAAAAAAATTTACATTTTAAAATTTAAATTATGTTTAGTTGCTTACTTACTACTTAGTTGATTAAATGTTCAAACTGATGACCGCCCGCTTCCATACAAGAATAAAGATTTTGTTCGAAACGTTCGCGCACATTCCGAAGCATTTCCGGAGTGATTCGACGGCATTCGTCGACGATTCTTTGACGCAAATCTTCCAGCGACGCT